AGGGAATTCTTGGAGGAAATAAAAGCCAGCAATCTCAAACCACTTTCACCAGCTTGGTTTTCACTCATTTCATTCTGATTTCATTTGGTGCACTCCTGCATTTAGTCTGCCCATCTATTCCAGGGTAACCTTCCCTACTACTCAGGGTTATATTGGCATCTGCTATTCCCTTAGATGTTTGTGTGCTGAAGAGTTCTAGCCACCCTTGTTCTTCACCTAAAAGCATTTCCATGTGTTTTGTTAACCTTAATGACTTTCTTGAAGATTAGGAGGGAGGAAACTTCAGAAATACTAAGGACAAGAGTGCCCTATAGGTTAGTACAGTAAACTAAATAATGGTGTGGTTCTAAAAGCGTTTACTGCTTTTACTGCTGAAATTTTTCTAGTTGACTGTTGTACTGTTGCTCTTGCACCAGCACATCTCATTCCTGCATGACAGTAGTCAGCTTCAAAATCCACTACTTCCTGTGTGCTTGCTTTTAGTTTGCCTACCTCTTTATATCTTTGTATCGCTAACGTTCCTTGGCAGCTTTTGATGGTCAGACTTCATCTTTCCTATCCAGAACAATCAGAACTACAGAACAGCACAGTCACCAGCACAGATTCTTGGGACTTCCACCGATTTATTCAAATTATTTGTTGGCTACTTTTAAGTAACAGCTGGTCAGGTTATTTGCCATGGCAGTGCCTGTTTAGGAGACCCCAGTTTCGTTGTACCCTTTTGTGAGAAGTGTGTAATGTCTTTTGGAATTCCAGGTGGGCTGTAGCTGTGATTTCTTGCAGCGCTTGCGGAGCCTTTCAAAGAACAACAGCCTGAAATGTGGTTTTTCTTTTCAACAGCTGCATGGAATTATACGTGCCCAATAATTCTTTTCTTTGGAGAAATTTATATCTTTTTCTGGTACAAACGTTGAACCTAGCTGATATATTGTTTCCTGAATGTCCCCTTGAGCCCTTTTCAGAAACTCCTGTTCTTTATCTTTGGTCTTTCAGTGCTACAAGATTGAGGCTGTTTGAAGTGAGAATTCAGGAATGGCAGTTAGCAGCAAGTTTTTGATTCTTGAGTTCTTCAGAATTTGATTCTCACAGTCCATTATTTTTCCCTTTACAAACTTGTTCTTTGCCACTAGAAGGGGATTGTGGTATGGGAGACCTCCAGAGTTTTTCCTCAGTGCATAGGTCTAAAAACAGATGAGGAGAGGCAGGTTCTTCTGCTGGGTTTTCTCTCCTATGAGTCTTTGTGTTTGCACTGATTATCTTTTTTGGCCCCAGAGGAATCCAGTAACATGTCTTCTATTCCTTCTGTCATTTGAAAAAGGCTTATTGTTGTGCCCTTTCATTACTTAACTAGTTTTTCAAACTTAATTACTTTATCTTCTGTACTTACGTTACCAGCTAGAGGGTATGGCCGCTCTTTTTTATTTGGCATCCCACTTGGGATAGTCAGCATTATATCATTTTGTTTCAGATGATTTCCTTGACTTTACTATTTAGCTTTATTGTTTTTGTTGGTTTTTTTTTCTTAGTTTGCTTAGAGGGCTTCTGCCAGCGCCTTATAAAATGATGATCAGGAAATAATTATAGCAAATTGTTTTGACTAAATGTTTGTACAAAAGGACATACAAAAAGAAATGAGCCAGAATTGAAACACAAGTTTTAAAAATAAAAGTATTTTTGTTTTCATGTTTTATAATTCTGAATAGATGGAATTATTTTACTTTAACTAGATTTGAAATATATTTGATTTCTTTGGCATGCCTACGGTCTTAATAATCCTGTAAGCTAGATGAAAAAAAAATATATAATTTCATTGCTTGAGTCTTGCCTCTTTAAGGAGCCTAACACTAGAGCTAGTGGAGGGGAATTCCTGGTTGGCTGTTAATAAGCACAATGTGTGAATTTCCTGAGGATGGAGCTAAGAGCATGGGTGCTGTTGGTAGGTATTCAGGAAGGCATTTGTGCACATTCAACTTTCTGTATTCAGAAACGTGGTTTTGGCCACTACTCAGTGAACATCTGTATGGGAACCGTTGATCACGGCCTGAACCTCTGATTGACCACTTTTATTACCTTCTAAGTAGGATTATCACAATGAAAAAATAATCAATGAAAAATGCTCACCAATGTTGTAGGCTTGTAATAAACTGCACGAAGAGCAATCTCCAGGAAGAGATGTTTCCTCAGTGGCAGTCAGCTCTTAAATAGGCCTAGGAGAGGTGGAACCAGGCTCCATCCCTCCTGGCAGTGCAGGTGAATTGCCTTCACCTGTGCTCCGTGGCTGACTCACTGCCCGCCTCAGGTGGTCAGTCAGAGGTTTGAGCCACAGTTCCCACACAATGTCTATGTTTCATGTGGGTACATTCTTTACAATGCAGTAAAAAAAATAAATAAAAATTACATTTTAATTCATGTTACATTTCTTAATTTTATAAGTGGTTTATTTTTGTCAAAAGTGTTGCATTAAATGTTGCAAAATTGCAAATAGGTATTTCACACAGGGCCCTCATTGTCCTTTGCAGTGTTCCAGATGCTGCTGCTTCACAGTTCTTTTGTCATGCGCTGATGGGCCTAAATTAGTGCCTTGCCAAGTGAATGTTATCTTCAAAATAAAATGTTTATTGGAAATTAAAGCTTCCTAAATCCTTATAAGGACAAACAACTTAGAAGAATTATTTTGTCTTGGCTTCTTCCAAGTACTGAATTTAGGATCTGTATTTTCCTTTCAACAGCTGTGAAAGCCTGCAACTGGTATATCCGTTGTCCAAAAAGTCTCTCTGTAGAGAATTATGTTCTTAATTTTGCTGTTTCTTTTGGTTCATTTATTCTTTTAATGACAGGTAGTTTGAAATAGAAAACATAAAGGCAAATACGGCTTTCTACTACCTGGAGTAGAGTAATGGGATGCTATTATAGCATCCTGACTGCACACTGCTTCAGAATTAGTTGTGACTGTTCTGTGCTTCCCAGCACAGTGTTGTAGCTTTCTTGTTGCTTTGAACTGCCCCATCCACCTTTTTGTGGTGATTTCAAAGCTGGTGGAATGGTCAGGTGTGCTACCATCTCATCTACATGAGTCAGCGGTTCTGCCTCCTTGTTGCTGCTTCTATCTGTGGTCAAGAAGTTCCTATATTTTCCTACTTTTTCATGCTCAGTTTTTGGATTGGCAAGGTGGCTTCCTGATTTCAGTCTTGCGTATGTCTAGATTACTCTTGTTAGCATTTCAGCTTTGAGTTTGCTGACTGGGAATGCAAACTGAAGCATACTTCATGAAAGTGAGCAAAATGTTTCTGACACTCCCCAGAAATAGTGTAGCTGTAGTGGCATGTATCAAGCCAAGCTGTTACACAGGACGAAAATGACCTGCAGTATCACCATTGTGTAACTGAAGCTTAAGTGAAAGTTGAGCACTGAAGCATGAGTGTAAAACAGAGAAGAAACTGATTGTGGAGATTTTGGATTCCCTTCCTGTTTTCTCCTTTTCCTCAGTACTGGTTAAGAGCATTCATATATTTGAATTTTGGAAGGTTATTGCTTTTTTTTTTTGTCTTTTTTTTTTCTTTTTTCTTTTGTAAGAAGGACAGAAGTAATTGAGAACACAGCGAGAGGTAGTAATGTTTGTTTTAGAAGTGGATGTCTAAGTGTGAACTGATTTTAATTTCACAGTTTTAATTAAAATTCCTACAGGCTGAAAAGACTGATATTTAGGCGTGGGCAAAGCAATCTCTTTTCCAGTTCACCTTTTGACAAGTATGCAAGTTTTAGTTAAAACTATTTTTTAATAGGTAAGAAGAGAAGTTCTCTTGGGAACTTGTTAATTTCAAAGCAGTGAATTATTATAAGCAGCTCAGAGAGCGTGACTTATATTTATGATTGTCTGATCCTTTCCACTGTGTGATCCTGTTTGCTCTTGCATGTTACTTTGCTAAATGTAAGCCATTCTGTATTAGGTTTTCTTAGCTAACTGTTTGCCTAAGATTTAATGAATTGTAGGAAGCTGAAGAATTAAATATTTTGCAACACTTGGAGTGTGTAGTAGGAGAAGTGAGTGGCCTTTTGACTTTATTTTAGATGTTAGCAATCTTATGGGATTAACTCCAATTTTTCTCATCTTTAAGAAGGAAATACAAATTTTCTGTGGATGGCCATTCTCATTGTCAGGGCTACATTTTCAAGTTAATGTGCTTCCAAGAAAAATACAGTGTAAGCTAAGTCGAGAACATTCTGAAGACTGGTTTGGCCTTTTGTATCTAGTCTTCTGATGTAGGAAAGCAGCAAATAATGGGTAGTGTAGTGTCAGTTCACATCTCGGGTCAGGGGAGTAAGAATAAGGCTATTACTGCATCTTTGGGGAAAAAAAAAATGTTGTGAAACAGCTTGTGTACCTTGTCTGTTTTGGTGCTTAGATATGAAGTTACAAAGCTTCAGAAAGAACTGAGAACTCAGATGGAATTTGCTTAAATGTTTTTAATAATTAGCATATTTATTTGAGTTAAAACGGTGAATGAAGTGTATAAATCTGCTGTGGTAAGTGGCAAAATGGCTACATGCTCATTCTCGCTGGGCTGAACATTTTTGTTTTATGGAAAATAAAATAAGATTCAGTAGGCAAGCGATGATGCATGTAATAAGTATTTGGTTAAGTGTCTGTGCATTTTCTTGAGGGTCATCAAGTGCACTATTACTTTTTTGCCCTAAAAAAGAAAACATAATGAGAGCTGTCACATTTGTATATTGCATATTTCCTTTGTAACTTCACCTATGGGTGTCTGCTGTATTCAGTGCTAATAACTAGGTGTGCGTTGTAGCTTTTTGGTTGTTAGATTGTATTTCATTGGGCCTTTCTATTTCTTAAATGAGGATTTATTTTCTGATCTGATACATATGTAAAATTAGATGAATATCAAAAGTGGTATTTCTTTATGAAAAGATACTGTGTTTTTATACTTTTTAGAACTGCAGAATGTATTTCTGATCACTTAATTGTTGTTTTTTTTCTGCAGTTGTACTCGCTGAATGATTATAAGCCACCCATTTCTAAAGCTAAAATGACACAGATCACCAAGGCAGCAATCAAGGCTATAAAGGTAAGGAACTGACTTGCTACTTCTAATTTCCTTTCCATTTCTTACCTCTCACAAAATACCTGAATAGCTTACAGAACATGCTGCTGCAAGTTTTTCCCCTTTATCATGTGCACAGTTGCCAAATTATGATCAAGTGTGATCATAAGGGTCCCCAGGACCCTAACTAAAGACTAATCTTGCCACAAAGTAGAACCACATAATTGCCAAGTAGCAGCAAAGCAACAGAAAACAGCACTGAAAAATAATGGAGGGAAGAGTGCACAGTACTAAGCATTGAAACGAACGCTTGGTGGGAGCTGGAGAGTTGAATAAAAAGCATAGAATAAAAGCAAGAAAGGCATGACGTGGTCTTTATGTCTGCGTGCTTCTGCAGGGAAGGTAGATAAATTTTCATCTGGTGACGTCTGCATTGGAGTTCTGCATAACTCAGAGCAAATTGATGGTAGAGGAATGGAGTTTATTACGTTTATTAAATAAGAGAAGTCTACATAAATCAGAGTGCATGTGTTGCAGTGTTATGAGAATGCTAGAAATCCGTACTGAACTTTACCCAAACTAATAATAAATCATAGAATCATAGAATTGGTCAGGTTGGAAAAGAGCTTAAAGATCATCAAGTCCAACTGCAACCTAACCATACTACTCTAACAACTCTGCTAAATGATACCAGAATCTTGGAAACCTTGAAATGGACAATGCTATATCTCTTTCAAGATTTTCATTATGTATTTTCACCCTTTAATAAACTGGGCCTCAAAGACATAAACCTGCTAAAGTTTTAAAAGTTGTATTTTCCAGTCTTTCCAGTTTTTCCAATGTTATTTTGTAGCTACCAGTTTGGTACCTGAACTTACAGCCTTGGGATATTTAATACAATAGTGGTGTACCAAGAAATGAATGTAAGTTTAGTGAGTGGGAGCGATATCTAGTATTTGGTCTAGTATTAAATGGGCAAGTTTGTGGCCCTGCATGTGGCAGGGGGATTGGAGATTCATGATTCTTGAGATCCCTTCCAACCCTGGCTGTTCTGTGATTCTTTGGTGTGTATTATCACATAGAAATTGACACTTCTGTTGTTCTTAGAACTTAGACCACATGCAGAGTGTATCATATTCTAGAAATGCTAGAAAATGTTACTTTTCTGTTACCACAGCTTGCTACAGTCAAGGCAAAAGAGGATATAAAGTAACTACTGCATTTCCAGACTCCCTTTGAGATGGGGGTTTCAGTGCATCTTAGGGGATACTGGGAAGTATCGATCATGCTTTATGCTTATCATTTCAGTAACAAGGTTTAATTTTGTAGAGCATTTATTAAGATGATGTGGAGCTATTGCAATTATATGTGAAATTAAAAAAACAACAACAACAACAACAACAACAACAACCAATAACAGAAAAAAAAACCTCACAAAAGAAAACAACAGGACTAAAGAATAAGTACTCAGTAAATGTTTTAAAGATTTTCCTATTTGTATATTGTGTATTTAGATTATCAAAGTTAACATTTGGAAAATAAAATAGAGAGAAATGCTATTCTTAGTAATGTGCTAACATCTGCAGTTAAGTGTGTTGAAATAACAGCATAATTCTCAAGGAGCAGTCACCTTCGCTTAGTAGATACAGACACTATTCTAAAAAAGATAAGTGCAGTTAGCTTTTCCTGATGCTGTTAAATCTTCTGAGGATGATAGCATATTTAGCTATGGATGTTGTATTGCTGGTTGATCAACTGAAGTTTCTGATTGTTGTTTTATTGTCAATGCTGCATGACTTAAGCAAGTATATGCATCACAGAATTTTCTCCGCTATTGAAATACTGTCTTTGTTTTCTAGTTCTACAAGCATGTTGTGCAGAGTGTTGAGAAATTCATTCAAAAGGTAAGTCAGTAACAGATATCTTATGTTATCACACAGAGAAGCTTTCAGTGTTGTAGGGATTATTTGCTACAGTTGGGTCTTAGGTATACATATGAATTTCTGTTTTTACCCCAGAATATGTATTTCAGTTTTCAGTTGCATTCAACTTCTGTTAGTAATCAGTAGATGATAACAGATCTGCTGAAAAACAAATACACTGTCCTCATTTTATATTTATGTAAATTTTGACTTCAATGACTGCAGATACTGTGTTGAAACTACTTCTGTGTGTGGTCATTTAATGTTAAAAGAAGCCTATGAATCTTCCAGCAAAGTAATTGAAAGTAATCTAATGAGTGACAGTTGCTTTTGCTTTTCCAGCAGGTTTTTGGCACAGTTTTTAAAATTAAAGATGATCACTTAACTTTTACTCTTGTCTAGTGTGAAATGTGGCATTTTTGTTTGTGCTTTATGCTGCTCTACATCTTTTAGAATAATGCATCTTTAAAAAAGGTTTGTTGTTCATGTGCTGATTTTTACGAGCTAGACTCTAAAGAGGTTTTTTATTTTGTTAGTGGTAGCAAATGAAATTCAAGCTATATACATATTTGTGGAGTATATGTAACTGTGACAAATTGAACATTAAGGGCTAGCGGCTTCTGTTTGAGACAGTTTTGCATTTTTCTAAAATCTAATAAATAGTGAACATTTTGAAAAATTAGATGGAGCTGTTTCTGTTTAGTCTGCCAGTAATGATTTGTGTTATTGTTGATGTATGAATATCATAAATTACTGTTACTTGTAGTGCAAACCAGAATACAAGGTGCCTGGTCTGTACGTCATTGATTCGATTGTGAGGCAGTCCCGGCATCAGTTTGGGCAAGAGAAGGATGTATTTGCTCCAAGATTCAGCAATAACATCATCAGCACTTTTCAGAACTTGTATCGTTGTCCTGGGGATGACAAGGTAAAACATTTAGTATAACTTCTTCTAATCAAAGCAATTTTAGTGTGTTTCCTTTAAAGAATAAAGATGTTGATCTCATATTTTGCTTACTAGAGTGGACCTTACTGAAGGCTTCTCCTTTACACATTTGTATGTTTTTCTTTAATTTTGGTTTTCTGAGCGCAGGGGTGGGGAAAGATGCGTATAATTAGGCTAGTTAGTAATTCTAAATTATTTTTTTACTGAAGGATGTATATCCTGCGTGTGTTATGTACAGCCTGTATATGTCAGGCCAGGCTCATGGGTTAGACATCTTTGATGTAACTATTCCTAGGGTTTGTAGTTTTGTAAATCCAAAGGCGCTTCAGTCTAAACAGGTTGGAATTGCTGGTTAAAACTTCAGTAATTCATGATAACAAAAAATGTAATCATGACACAGATCTTCTCTTATTTTTTTTATCATTTTAGAGTAAAATTGTCAGAGTGCTAAACTTATGGCAGAAAAATAACGTGTTCAAGAGTGAAATTATTCAGCCTCTTTTGGATATGGCAGCAGGAATTCCTCCACCAGTTGTGACCCCCGTCTTGCCCAGTACTACTGCTGCTATGAGCAACAATACACCAGGTAAACAAAACCAGATTAAAATTGAATAAATTACATTCTATCGAAACCCTTCTGTCAGCTTTGGTACCTTGGCTGTTAAAGTGCTGGAAGGAAGGGGGGGGGGGGAAACAAAAAACAAAACAAAAAAACCAACCAACCAGAAAAACCCACCTCACTGGTTCCCTTTTGGTAAATCCAATGAAATCCAGAAAGGAATGTACTATAGCCAGCATTCAGATTAGGAAAATAGCAAAACCAAAACAAAGCTCATTATGTTTACTTTCCAACTGTGTATCTTAAGTAATTTCATATTGAGTAACAGTGCAGTAAGACCTACTTTTACACCTTAAAGGCAAAGAAGAAGATACTTGAAAGATACTTGACCGTTGAAAAGAGAACCCATCCGTATCTTTTTGCTATCTTTAGTACTGAACATGCTGATTAGATAATGTCAGATGGGGATCTTTTACTTTTGGTGGTCAACAGGCAATAATTTTGAACAGAAAACCCCACATCAATAAAACAAGCTGCATCTACTAACATACCTCCTCCTCGCTCTTGTTTGGAGTAAGAGCCAAGTGGGCAAAAAGCTGCTTATAGAGTACAGCTAAAGTTACCTAACACTGACATTTTTATATGCCTTGATCATCTTACGTGAATAGATGCTAGGGAGCTGGCTTTTCAACATTTTTCATGTTGTGGAGAATTTTTCCTTGAAGATTGGGATGTATGGGAAATTTTATTTATAAAATTATTTTTAGCACATATGGACCTGATTTTTATTGCTCACCTTTTGCTGATCCTTTGCTGAAAATCAAGAAGGTAGATAATCTTATTTTTCAGTGGTGTCTACAAATATGCAGAAGTTCCTATTCTGTGACATAATGCATCTTGTACCTCAGTGTTTTTTATTTTCATTAGTTTGATTACTTTAAAATGTTGAAATCACAGCTTTGCTGTAACGCTTTTTTTTTTTTATTTTGATGCAAATTTCCTGTTTAAGTGAACATCCGTTATGTTGTTGATAATCCGTTATGTTGATACAAAAATATCATGTTTTCACTTGATATTCCTCAGCATATCTCTATTTTCGAGCTAAAAGCTCAAAAGGTATTTACAGAGATGAAGAGAGATTCTGGATTATGGAAGGAAAGCAATGATTAGATGATCACAAAGTTCCTCTCAAAGAAATATTAGGAGGAAAACAAAAAAAAGACCGATTAAATGGGCAATCTTAAAGAATCCAATTGCTGCAGGCTGGAATTTTAGTAGAAACCTCAAGGTTCCTTCTGAGTGTAAAGTGTAAGCCCAGTAAATGTTTTATTAATTGATATTTCTGAATGGATTACTATTACCATTTGAAAGATACTGCTTCCACTGGGTGGTTTAGGTTACTGTGTGAAAATGAATTGGGTTGCTTGACCTTCTTGTATTTTACTTTTATCGGTGTTATTGTTAGTGGTTCCCTTCGGTCAATAATGGAAAGAGCTGTGAACTACACTTACACAGCAAAGCTGCTACTTGAGAAATGCTAATGTGAATCTGTTTTATTTCTCTGTGTTCTGTATGTGTGTCAGAAAAATAGTTTTGCTCATGTTAATGAAGTGTTTCCTAGTTCTCAGTAACTGGTTTTAGGAAGGTTAGAGTTGCTTTATAATGTGATTTCTTGCAGTCCAGAAGTCATTGCTCTAGAAAATAAACAAGAATATTCATGTTTGATTTATCATTTCTTTTACAACAGTTTCCCCTCTCCCCCAACACTATTTCTAAGTCTGTATGTTAAGATATTTTGACGTATTGGATTTTCTTTCTTTTAGGAACACCTGTGACTCCAGTTACTCCAGCCAATGTGGTGCAAAGTTTACCTGATCCTTGGGTATCTCAGATTGCTAATACAGATACGCTTGCTGCTGTTGCCCAGATTTTACAGAGTCCCCAAGGCCAACAGGTGAATATTCTGTAGGCATTTACACTGTACAGTCTTTGATACTCTATGTCTTTAAGGTGTTGTTGAAGGAATGCAGTTTTCATGGAAATCTCATGTCCAATTTTTTTGTCCAGTATTCATATTAACTATCCAATGAGGTTATTCATCACAAGTAAGTTCCTGGTAAACTAAAATTTCCTGTTACCTTATATAACCAGCATTCTTTGTTCCTTAAAAATATCCCAGAATGTGATTTCAGATAAGGTGGCCTATAATATGTATAATTTATATTTAGTATTGCAAATGACTAAATCCAAAGCAGCATTAAGTTTTCATGAATGCAGGTATGAAATAGAATGCCAGTTTAAGCATATTTCTCTGCTGGATGCCCTGAAGATGCTAAACATTGCACAGAACTATATGGTGGAAATGTTCCATTTTCTGAAAGTGCATTCTTTGTATTTCAGACAGCTAAATATGTGTTTATTTTTGCAGCATTCAAAATAATCTTTCTTGAGAAGTGACTGGGTTTGTGTTCAGTTTCTAACTGCTCAACTCATTGATGTGGCTTGAAGCACAACATGTGATGAACTGCTTGCCCTTGTAGCCCGAAGCTGAGTGCAGGCAGGCAGCTTTCTGTAAAAATGTTTCCATCCTCTGTCCATCTCTTCTTCATGTTCTCTGAGTCACTCCACTCATCCCCCAAAGCTCCAAAATCCTTTATTTCATTCCAAGAGAGTGTTTTGTGGGCGAGAACACATGTAGGTAAAATAAGAGTCTAAATATAGGAGAGAACAGAGTAACAAAGGTGTGAACAGCAAGAATATGCAGCTAGAATGGTGACCACTCAGGATTTTCCCACTCAAGAGCTTCCATCTTTGCTTCTTCAGTTTGATTCCTTCCTACTCAGAGCAGTGTACAGGGCGGATGTGCTGTATTTGCTCATCTTTTGTGGGACAACCAAGAAGGAGGTGGGAAGCTTTTCAGCTTTGTCTATTGCTGTAGTTAGTGAAACTCTTAGTAAAGTAAAACAGTAACTGAAGCATTTCCGGAGGATTCTCTACTTAAGGAACAGGAAGTTATTTCATGTTATTAGAAGGTAGCCTCAAAACAATCTTGAAAAAAGATCGAGCATTTCTGATGCATTATGGTGAAGATGGTAAAATGAACTTACAGAGTTTCTTGTCAACCCTACTAAAAAGAGAGCAATTGAAGTCTTAATATCTTAGTGTTGAACCTTATGAGCAGGTGGAACAAGAGCTTAAAGATAATTGGGCATTTATGTCAGCAGAGTTTGAACTACCTGGATTTGCTCAACCCTTTTCCAGGGATAACCAAAGATTAGTCTGTAAGGGTCTACCGTATGGAAGGTCAAAAGACTGTTTTTCTAGTTTTGAGGTACTTCAGGAGGTGGTCTTTCCTTAAAGATTGTACCTTTTCTTTTTTCATTAAGATATTTGTACAGTTTAATGGGTGTGTCTCTGTTCAACAGATGAACAGATCTGCACATGATAAAGTTAGCCTTTTATTTCCTTAACGGAACAACTGCTTTAAAAAAAAAAATTGTAGTAAGTTGGGACAGGGAAAACATGACACACTGCAGACAATTGGATATTCTTTTTGGTATGTTAGTTCTAAAAAACCTTTATGGGAGATACATTATTTTACTTTGTTTTCCTTCTCTATATTTGAAGGAGACAATTCATAGGGTATCCTAATAAATTCTGATAAAATCTTTGGGTCCACTCTGGAACATTCACTACAGTTCCAAGTATTCCTCCTCTGATGATCTGTAGTATTGTTTCCAGTATAATCCAGTTCTCTTCTGGATTGCAGAATGTGGTTCTTTAAAAACCAACAAACAAAAAATAACATATACTTTTAGCCATGGTGGGTTTTTTTTGTTTTTTTTTTTGTTTTGTCTTTAAATGAGAAAAGCAGATTCAGCGCTTGGTTGTACAGTTCTTTGCCATACTGGATGGAGGAGTTTGGAGTTATTACTGGGCAGTTGCTGTCCCGGAGCTGCAGCTTGTGGTTCCACAGTGCATTAACTGCTATAGGAGCATTTTATCTAAAGATAGAGCTATACATAATGCCAATGTAGAAAGTTAAGTTTTATTGCTAATTCTTGATTAATTTGCTTCTCATGTTTTGGTTCACGTAGCATGGCAGTTGCATTCTTTAAGTGCAGCCCTGAGTTTCAGCATGAGATTTTCCTCATGACTTACAGAAAGATACAAGCAGAAATTCTTAATGAAGGCTTAAAGTGCATCTAACAACAGTGCAGTTATTTGCCCTACACAAGTGGTATTACAGGATACAAATTTTCCTAATATAGATGGGTCCTCAGGAAGCTGGAGTGGGCTAACAGATTTTTTTCAGGTCAGAAGGAATCAAACTGGAGAAGCAGAAGAGAGGGAAACATAGAAAACAGGAAATCCTGAGTGGTGACTGGTCATCATGCAACCTCTCAGAGCAAGTTAGGAGGAAGAAGCATCTGCATGTCTTATCAGCCACTGAAAACAAATTGGCCTGTAAGTGGGAACATAATTTGCCATAAATGAAAATGGATTAAAATAAATTAATAGTCATAGGTTAGACAATACTACATTCATGAGGTTTTTTCCTAGTTGGATGAGTAAAAGGCTGTTTTTAAAAATACATCTTGTTTAATGTAGTTGTCTTTTCTCTTTTAGCTTCAGCAGTTGATACAGACGCTGCAGATACAGCAGCAGAAACCTCAGCCTTCACTACTTCAAGCCCTGGATGCTGGTCTTGTCGTTCAGTTACAGGCCCTAACTGCACAGCTTACAGCTGCAGCTGCTGCTGCCAATACACTTAATCCATTGGAACAGAGTGTCTCTTTTAATAAGGTAGAAGTAGAGTAATGGAAATTTTTATTGTTAAAATGCATCTAAGTAAGAAAGTCATCTGTTGGATTTCACTGTATGGCTGTAGAGGTATTAAAAATACATAAATATGTGATAGTGCTCTATCTTGAAAATTAAAAAAAAAACGTCTGGGGAGAGTAGTATAAATTCAAATACATAGCTTGAATGAGTTTAAAGCTAAATGGCATTTATATGAACATGAATTTGAATTTAAGAAGTTAAGACATTGTTCTGTGTTTTTCTTAACTCTTTGAAGCACAGTGGTGAGGAGAATTTGACCATGTTTTGTGTTCTTCCCTACCTGAATTTATTATCTAATGCATGAAATGATTTCCTACAGAGCAGTGAAAGAGAAACATAAAAATTTATATACCTAGTTTTCCAAGAAGAGTAAAAGGAGATTGTATTTGTTATTTTCTTACATTATGAAAGCCAAAAAACCTTCTCACCCACAAAGTGAGATGAGTTAAGGAATAATAATTTTAGTTAAAGCTAGTCATGGGACATTTTTTAAAGGATATCAAAATGTAGAAACAAACAAAACCTTGAAGTGAAAAAAGTTGTGTGTGCTGCTGTTTATGTGTCTCTTAAATATACTTAGATTTAAAAAAAAAAAAAAAAAAGATAAAAAAATGAATAGGGTTGAATGCCAGGGATCAATAACCATGCTGGCAATTGCTATAGGTAGTAGTAGTAGTTAACATTGCATCATAGTAGTATGTCAGTAGAATTTAAAAAAACAAAACCAAAAACTTCTCACAAATTAAAAAAAAAAATACTAGGTGAAAATATTATTAGAGATACCTTTCTGATATTTTTTGTTTGTTTGTTTTGACACTTGTACAATGAACAGCAATGCTAGATTGCTTACAGCTTTGGAGTATAAGTCATATAGTTGCTTAATCTCTGGGGCTCTAGTCTTTGTAAGAAAGCAAGTTATTAACAAATATAACAACGGGAATTACAAATCAACTTCAGTAAGTGAAAATTGTGTGTTGATAATTCTGTATCAAAAGAAAATGAATACGAACCAGTTAATATACATACATTGACTTCTCAAAAAACCTAGTTTAACAGAATCCTTCATAAAGAGACCGGAAAGAAGGTAAATAAGTTGATCAATTAAAATATGTCATGGGAGGTACAAAATGTATAGTAAGTTATCTAGAGCAAGGAGACAGAAAAATCTGTTGTCTCAGATTTGTCTTACAAAGACAGAAGGACTTTTAAGAAATCTGATGTGTATCAGGCAGCAGATGGTCAAAGTTGATCACTCCTACTTAGCATCACAGAATTAGACAACGGTTAAGGTCCAAAGGGATTTCTGGAGGTCTTTTAGTCCTTCTCAAGCAGGGGATCACAGTGTCCAGGACCGCGTCCAGATAGATTTTTAAGATCTCCAAAGAGGCAACTGCACAGCCTCTTGGGGCAACCTGTACCAGTTGCTCTGTTGCCTACACTGTATAGAGCTGCTTCCTGATGTTTAGACAGAACCTTCTGTAATCCGGTTTGTGACCAATTGTCTCTTGTTTGCCTACTGGGCATCCACCTACATTTGGAAAGAATGAACTGAAGAAGTGGAAAAACCTTTTTGGTTTTCAGAATAGTTGAAAGCTACTTTATATAACATAATCAGAATTTCTCTTCAGCGCTCAGCAAGAGTTGTACCTTCTAGTAGGTATTTAAAAAAAAAAAAAAAAAGAAAAAAAAGAAAAAATAGAGATTAGAGGAGGTCCCTAACAACTGGAAAAGTTGCATCCTTCGAAGCAGGCTAGAAGATCACCCAAGAAAACTACAAACCAGTTAGCCTCGCTTAGCTCTGTGGAGCTAGTACTTCTGGAAGACAGTTTTGGGTGTGCAAAAGACAAATTGATTGGAAACAGCCAGCATGGATTTACCAAGGGCTAATCACACCTGACTGACCTGGTTTCCTCTGATGATGGATAGACTGCTTTTGAGGATGAGAGGAGAATAGTGAATACAATTACTCTGACTTTAACACAGAATTTGATATCCTCTTGCACAATGTTTTATGTCCAACTGAATACATTATAATCTCTTCAGGTGGACATCCAGATAGGTAAAACAATTATTTGCATAATTCGGTTCAAGTAGCAACCAATTGGCTATACTTTACCTGTGGGTCAGTAGCAAGTGTCTTGTTAGCTATAAGCCTGCAGAAATTTACTCTCAGGGATCTTGTCCTACATAGCACCTCTTGTAATGAACCTGAGGTATATGAATAAAGGATTAATGGCAATGGTCAACTCACCTTTATTCGGCAGTCACTAGACACACATCTGGAGTGTCACATCCAGTTTTGGCCCCCCACCTGCACAAGAAAGACACTAGCAAGCTGAGTTTAGAGGGGGACCACCACATTGGGCAAGTGCTCCGCCATAACCTCTGAGGTTAGTTCTGAGTCAGGCTGAGTCAGTCTGGAACAAAGCTTCAGGGGAGAGCAAACACCAGCCCATCAACACTACAGGAAACTGGGCAAGAAGAGAACTGGCTGACTGGCAGATTTCAGAGGATTGCGATCATTGGTGCAGTCTAGTTGGAGGTCTGCAACTAGCAGTGTTCCCCAGGGATCAGTATTGGATCTGATCATGTTCAATATCTTCATCAGTGACCTGGATGGTGGGATAGAGTCCACCCTCAGCAAGTTTGCTGATGACACAAAGCTGTGAGGAGTGGCTGACGTACCAGGAGGCTGTGTGGCCATTCAACAAGACCTGGACAGACTGGAGAGTTGGGCAGAGAGGAACCTGATGAGGTTCAAGAAGGGCAAGTATAGAGTCTTGCACCAGGGGAGGAGTAAGCACATGCATCAGTACAGGTTGGGACTGATCTGCTGGAGAGGAGCTCTGCAGAAAGGAACCTGGGTATCCTGGTGGACAACAGGTTGGCCATGAGCCATCGGTGTGCCCTTGTGGCTAAGAAGGCCAGTGGTATCCCAGAGTGCATTGAAAAGAGTGTGACCATCAGATCGAGGGAGGTGATCCTCCCTGTCTGCTGCTTCAGAAGAATTTTATTTCCCTTGCAATAAAAAGCTTTTTTTCATATCTTTTACAATTCCCATTGCTTTTTCTGAATGTATTCTTAAGTAATTAGATTAATAGGTGTGGCATTCATAGAAGTTCTGGTTTTATATGTGTTTATGTGTAGTGGATTGATGCTAGGTATCCTAATATTTAGTATACTTAAATGTTTACTAGCTTTGGAAAGACAATTCTCCTCCAACTTAAAAATATTTAAATTCAAAAATTTCCCTTTAATATCTACTATTTTATATTTACTAAAGGCAAATTTAATCAGAAGTCATGCTACACGTTTGCCTCTATTGGCTGGAATTTCTTTGATTTTGGCTTATGACAGTATAAAATTTTTTTGTATCATCAGTTGTCGAATTCATTGTCTGTGATTATTCCTATTTAAATTTTACTTGCTTTTTTATTTTCCTTTCTACTTTGTAGTGGTGGAAGATATATGATAATTAATTATATTTTAAAGAGGAGATTGAGTGCTTTCTAAAAATGCATATTTTGTTCAGAGATGCAGTATTTTGCATGTTTTCAGTGAATATATCCTAACAAAGTAAAGCAATTTAAAGATAAAACAACAAGCTTTCTTTAAATGGGTGGGATACGTATGGTCCACGTTACTCAGGATTTTCACATCTCACCCATAAGCTCTCTCAATTTCTTAATTGCAAGAGCAGTCAAACACTGGAACCACCTTCCTAGGGAGATGACTGTTGCTCCCCTCCTGTCAATGTTCAAGTGGTGTTTGGACAATGCCCTCACCTGTTTTCTCTTAGAGACAATCCCACTTTCATTTGTACTAGATTATTTCACTGGTAAAATAGTTCTAAAAATTCTTGGTTGGTCAGAGTCTCTTAATCAACTTGCGCTTTATTCTTCATGGACTCCAGTAACTGGAAAGAAATAAAGCATCGTGAAACAGAAGGGCTACTAAATCATTACAGTGGTTCAGACTTTTTTTTTACCTTGTTATTTCCAAATGCCTCACCTGTGTTCCATACTCTAATCCTTTCTTCCGAGAGAACAGTATTTGAGAAGAAGTTAGGATATCTTGAAGTACAGTAATAACTGCTTTTTGGAAGACTTCCAAGGTGAAAGGTTGTATGGACATGAATTCAATAGCATTGCTCTCTCGATGCATAGTTAAAGAAAAAACTCGGCCTGAGTAAGAAGTAACATTTGTTGCAATTTTTCATACTCCTCCTTTAGTCTTGTCTTAAGAAAACAGAATGCTACTGAACCCTAACCCTAACACTGTGATTTTCTGTGAGGTAATCAAGCTGTAGATCTTCTCATGATATGAGCACAGTAGTTCATTGATTGCCAAAGGATTGAATAAAGGTACCATCACATAAAATTAATCTCTTTGTAAGCCTTTTTCCAAATAAGCTGTAATTTACCATGGAAAGCACTTGTAGTTCTGCTGCAACAGCAGGCAGAGCTTAAGAAAGCCACAGCTGAGACTTGGGGTTTGATGCATTGAGAAGTTTAGTAGTGATACTAGTATGCCATTCAATTTTCAAGTGATTGCCAAACTAATTTTTTTTAATTGAGAAATAAAAACATTTTTCTTTTGAAAACTAAATATACATAAAACATATATTTTATGAGTACTCACCCAGTAAGGCTTACTTTGCTTTCTCCTAGAAGCTGATGGACAGGTTTGACTTTGGGGAAGAATCTGAACAAAATGAAGAGTCTAAGAAGGAAACTCCCACTTCCCAACTGTAAGATCAAACTGTGTTTCTAAAGGAAAATGCTAAAATTTGGCTGGCACTAATTGAACTTGAGGTTTAAATAGAAAGGAAGATGTTCGTTTGAGAGCATAAGTAAACCAAAACAACGTAAAGAAAAAAGACGTTTTACTAAGTGAAGTGTATACATTTTTAAACATTTTATGTGTGCCAGTTTTTCTGACTTTATCTTGAAGTTAACACATTCTTTGCTTTGTTAGATATATAAATGTCAGTGGTGCAGTAATGATGATAACAAATGATTTTACATTGTCTGCATTGTTATTATTCTATATCTCTAATTAAACTTAAAACTCAAGAGTGAAAGTCTCTTTATCAACCACTTGGAGAAAATATGCTTATTTAAAAAATTCTTCCTTTTTAGGCCATTAGTACCAGAATCTGTGAACAACTCACTTTTTCACCAACTAGCTGAACAATTGCAGCAACAAAATTTAGAACATCTCAGACAACAACTTCTGGAGCAACAGCAGCCTCAAAAGGTAAGAACTCCATCTTGTGGTTGTCATTTAGTAGAAACTTGCAGAGTAAATAAAATAAGCAGTAGAAAGTGCATCAAGCAGAAAAATAAATAGAATCGAATGTTGGATATACATTTTGCTTCTTTTAGGAAGGAGTACCCCTCAGCTGAGTTACAGACTGACTGTTCTTTGACTGTTCAGCTTGTTTTACTGGAAAAATAAAGTTGTTTTTTTTCCTTTTTCTGCTGTTGTGAAGGAGGAAATGAGCCCTGAAGTCAATATGCTACTGTCTGTGCAGAGAGAGCAGTGCACGATCTGCTGCTACAGAACTACAAAAGGACAGAATAGTAGATTGCACTGTAACTTAAATTTTCCCCTTCCAAGCTTTAAATCTTGACAGTAAACGTATTATTCTACTAAAGAATCTGAACTGAAGAATAACGTCCAGTGTTTCCTGTGAAGTTCTTAGTTAAGAACAGATGCTTGAGACACTGCAAGGTTGCTTCTTAACTGTGTAAATTGAGTCTTCTCTACAACAAAGTAAATTGGCTTGTTCTTCTGAGGTTATGCTGTGTTGTTATGCTCTCATTCTGATGTCAGTTTCTGATTCGGTTAGAAAATAAAAAGTTTATTCTGTCTCTTTACTGGCCAGATATAAAGTGGATATGCTATAGGGTATTTGGATCAGTTTATCAGTAAAATGGAAATTTCTGTATTGGATGAAAATCACAAGAAGCTTAACAGTCTGTTGAGAATTTTATTTTAATGAGTGCAAAGGTGCAATCCTCAGCTTTCAATCAGGCATGTCAACAGGAATTTTGAATTTGTGACTTGGAGTTTTTAATTCTATAGAAACTAAAATCTTTGTTTTATTTAACTATACTAACAGGAAGTTTGTACAACATAGATACAGATTAAATTTTTTTATGTAGATGTGTAATCTAGCAATTTCTGGCTTAAACTCTGTGTAGATTGTACAGAAATATAACTCTGGAAGGTGAATCTGTTTCAGGAGCTTTTGATACGACTTATCTAAAAATAGCTAATAGTATGTAGTTTGAAATAATAAGCTAAATGGCCTACCTTATTGTAGAACAAACTATTAAAAAAAAAAAGCAGAATTGGACACTAAATTAGATTTCATTTATGAAATTAAGTTACATTACATGTATGGGTATTGAGTTGATATGACTCATCCCCTATTATTTGATCTTCTATTCCAAATGGTTTTACAGAAATTATTTCCCTTCAGGTCCACTCAGCTTCTTGATTATGTGGTACACAGAATAAGTTTAACATTCATGTTGATCGCAGCTAAAAGACACAAGGTTCTGCTGGATCTCCTCAGGACTCACTGCAGTGTGTTACAAGGAATATTTTCTTTAATTCCATTCTTAAGAATCAGTGAGAAGGATTCAGGGAAAGAGGAAGAAAAATGAAACACAAACCAAAAGTATTAATCACCTAATTAGGAGCAGAGTGGGAGGAGGAGAGAAGATAGGAGCAACAAGAAATGTAGGAACTGATACCAAGAAACAGAGATTATATAGAAATAATTAAATACATGGAAAATGAAGTAGATAACATTATTAGAAGACAAAAACATTAAATAATTGTAAAAACTAATTTATAAAAGTTGTCAATTACTTTTCTGAAGATTTTCATTTTATTTCCTGTATTCCTTGCATTTATTTTCTGTCTCATAAGTATTTATTCTAAATCTATGCTTCTGTATTTCTCAGTAGATAATTACTCCATATGAATGAAAAGGAAGAAAATAAAAGTAGATTAATTGTTTTTGAGAAATATTTGAACAATTGTTTCGTGTATTCTTGATTTCTGACACAATAAACAATTTGAATTATGAGGCTTCTTATGATTTATAATTATTTGCAATTTAGGCAAGCCCTGAGGAAAATCAGGAAGGGAATTTTGGTTCAGAACACTCTGCATCACCTTCACAAGGGAGCAGTCAACAGCAGTTTTTAGAAGCAGAAACAAATGTAGATGATTCAATGGATATTCAACAACAGGTAAAAGAATTTTAAATTTTAATTGCAAAAGTTGAAAACATTACATTGATTTCAAAAGAAGTAAAATACGTGCATTTTTTCATATACTTGGATAGATGGTAAGTGTATTTATTAAATCTTTATGAATATCTACTGTGTCTCACCTCAGGACATGGACATAGATGAAGGACAGGATGTTGCTGAAGAAGAGATTTTTGAACAAGAAGAAAAAAAATCTGCTGTTCGTTCAAGATCAAGAACTCGTTCAAGATCTCGTTCAAGGTGAAGTAATGAACTTGTATTAAGAAAATGAAGGTTTTTTTTTTTTTTTTAAACAGGATTTCAGTCTGTGATTACTATTCTCAATCTTGTATTTTTCAAAGTTTTCACGAGTAATTTGTTCATGTAGTGTTTGTGAGCTAAGTGAAGATTTAATGTACGGCAGCTTGTTTTGCATACCTTTGGACTACCTTAAAGTTTTTAAGACTGGTCAGGTAACAAAAATAACACGAATGAGTTTGACAGGCTTTCTCTGCCAGAAGAACAGGTACTGTTACGGAAATCTTGAGGCGTGTTTTGTTTTGGTTTATTATTTAAAGCCCTGTGTATATGTTCTATTCCCCACATTAATGGCAGTTTGAGTAAATATAAAGGAAGTATTTGTAACAAGCTTGAAGACTGTAGTTAAAAATAAAACTATATTACTTTTTTTTTTTTTTTTTAAACTCAGCATACTGAAGTAAAGTATTTTGTAGGTCACCAAGGAAAAGAAGGTCTAGATCACGATCTGGTTCTCGTAAACGCAAACACAGAAAGCGTTCACGCTCAAGATCAAGAGAAAGGAAGAGAAAGTCATCTCGGTCCTACTCCAGTGAAAGAAGGGCTAGGGAAAGGGAAAAAGAACGTCAGAAAAAGGGATTGCCTCCAATACGGTCAAAAACACTAAGTGGTAGGTGGCAACAGTTTTCTGTTCTAATAATATAGTTCTAAAGGGAAAATGCCTTTTTTTTCATTGAAAGAAAAATACCCAGCTTCTACAAACTTTGATAGACAAATTCTTTTTGTAAGTTTAAGTTCTCGTGTTTCTTACAACTTAAGCAGGTACATGATCTCATCTTAGAGAGCAGCAAATATCATACTGTTCTGCTGATGATTTTACTTGTGCTATTACATTGACACTTTTAGCTCCAAAAAGAAAAGTAGCAAAAGTGTCACTAAGATACTGGATGCTTTTTCTTTAATACTGTCTTTTACAATGCATTTTCAAATGGACAACACTTGGTCTAAAATTTGTTACTGGGATTTGTAAGGGATTTAAGTATGTGGTGGGCACTGTTCAGAGGTGTGCACTTTGGTCAGTTTGCTGAGTGCTTTAAATGGAATTAATTTTGTTACTGTATCAGCATGGTGTTTTCAGGATCCTGGATTCTTGGGATGTACATGTTGCACTTAATTTATTTTTGTAACAAACTTGCACTCCCAAATTTAACTTTGGTTAGATAACATAGTTTCAGATGTAGGTTCTGTGTTTATTTGGTGTCCCGAATTCTGTCACGTATCTGACAAGTAATTCAGAATTCATTTTTCTAAGAGTGTTCTGTTCTCTATACATGAGTATTTAACATCTTTCCAAGATGCTGTAAACTCAGAACTAGAGTTTTGATGTCTGGTTTTTATTCTCTGGCTTTTCACGTGATAAATAGCAAATAGTTTTTATGGTGTGGATTTCTCCCAGTAGAGTACAAAGCAGGGAACTATAATCAGAATGGATGGGGACTGGGAAGCAGGGATGCTAAGTGCAATATAGAAGACCATCAGCACTTGAAGTACTTGGAGGTAGTATGTCTCATGTAGAAGGGGGATACTAAGGAGTGTAAGTGAGGTTGGAATTGGAGGAGAACAAAAAAATTGCCTATTGACTTCAATTTGTTAAGCAACTCAAAATGTGACAACCACTGTTAATCACTAGTTGAGGTCTGAAGAATTGTTTCTTACGCGTTTTGTTGTGAGAAATAAATTGACTTCTGTGAAATTTCAAAAGATAAGGAGCCAGTTGTGTCTAAGAGAAATCTGAGGGCTAGTCCTTCTCAGCATTACTGAGTCAATTGAAAGTCTTTTAATCGTGCAGGTATGCTTTTTAATGGCAAATTGCTATTACAGCTTGCTATAGCTGATCATAGAATATTTTGACTGGGAGGGACCTTTCTGCTGCAGGCAATAATAGCTGACATTTCATTGTTTTTAAACAATGTTTTTCATTGTTTTTAAAACAACTATTTTGATTAAAAGAAAGTAAAACAAGAAAAGTGAACGCTTGTACTGAACAGCTGTTGTTTCATTTAGCCTTTTAATATTTCTATTAATTTACCTACTCTCTGCTTAATAAGTTAATTACTATTCTTGCTTTTGATCCATGATTTCTGTGCCTATTATATCCATTCTATAATGTGTTCTGTAAGCAAACATTTTAGTACTTGTTGTAACATGAATGCTTTTCTTGGCAGTTTGCAGCACTACTCTTTGGGTAGGTCAAGTAGACAAGAAGGCAACACAGCAAGATTTGACCAACTTGTTTGAAGAATTTGGACAAATAGAATCTATTAATGTAAGTATGCATATTACCATCCATTTTTAAGGATTTTAAGCAACTTAAACATACCTAGGCCTCTGGATTCCTTTTTAGCCTAAGCTTGTGTTTAGGTGATTGATACATATATTTTTTATCACTGTTTAAAAACTGTAGCTATGATATTTGCTTGTTGGTTTTCATGTACTTTTGTTTGAAGCACTGAAGACAGTATGCTTCATGGTAAAATGACTTTTCCTTGACAAAAGTTTTGGTTGCACAGTTTTAAAAGTTTAAAACAAGTTTTTTTTTTTTTTTTTGAAGTTGGATTTTAACAAGTACAAAGTTGTGCCTTTTCACTTTGTGTTGTGACATAGGAATAGAGATCATTTTTTATTTCACTAATCGACAAGAGTGCGATGTGATGTCCTCAATGGCTTGGTTATATGCATACATAGGGGTGCTAAATAGCAGTCAGTGTATCTGAATCATTTATAAAAGGATGCATGGTACTGTAAACAAGAGCGTATTTATAAAATGTGACCATAAAAGCATGCTTTCCTTAGGAGCTATATTTCTCATGATTTAGAGTCATTTAGATTTAGTCTAGTAGAATCATAGAATGGCATAAGTTGGAAGGGACCTTCGAGATCATCCAGTTCCAAACTTCCTGCCAACTTCCTGTGCACTTCATCCCACTATTTGTGTCACTGATTCACAAGTGAAGACTGAGGCAAAGAACTTGTTGAGTATCTTTTGCCCATAGCATCTCTGCTTTCTGCTTGTCATTTAAATCTGTCATGCTGCTTTTAGCGCCCATTCTTCAGCTTGCTGCTGCTTCTAGGAGATGTTGTAACTATTGTACTCTACTAACTTCACTCTTAGTTCTAGCTGATGCTCAGAATTGTTAATTATGATAATTACAGTGATGGTTACAGTATAAGTCCCTCCCTTTTTTTTTTTTTGTTATTTTAGTATTCAGTGTAGATAGGTAATCTGAAGTACCATTTTTCCTGCTTTTTAAGACCACGGATCTTTTTTATTCAATAGATGATTCCCCCAAGAGGTTGTGCATATGTCTGCATGGTTCATAGACAAGATGCATATCGTGCTCTTCAGAAGCTTAGTTCTGGGTCCTACAAAATTGGATCTAAAATTATTAAGGTAAGTTGAACTTAGTCCAAAGATGGTGTCCATTTCAAAAGCAGTGCGGTTTTTTTATCAGTTGATCAATTATTTAACAGCTATTAATTCAAACTGACAGTATGGAAAATAAGAATGAATCGTTAAGGTACATATGGTGTACAGTGCAGGTTTGGACAGGTAATACGGAAGATACTTAAATAAAATTGTGACTTGATGCTTAGAAAATATCTGGAAAATGTTTTAAATACATGTTGGTGATAAAAAATACTGTGAAATACTGAAGTCCTGTACTTGACCACATAGATCACTTAATACTAAAATTGCTAGTGTTCTTGAAGTTAATTATTTGATTAGGTGCTATGCTTTTTCTGCTTTCTTTGACACTTCAGGAAGAGTCCTTTAAATACCATATTCTTGATTTCCCTATGTGTATGTTAGAAATAACGCAGAAGAAATTTGAGGTTTTAAATGTAATTAATGTTCTTATTGTTGCAGAGGCCAGGTGAACGTCCTACATTTCACAGGTTATACATAACCAGATAATCTTTTGGGGTTTTATTTTCAGATTGCCTGGGCTTTAAATAAAGGTGTGAAAACAGAGTATAAGCAATTCTGGGATGTGGATCTGGGAGTTTCATATATTCCTTGGGAGAAGGTAAAACTGGATGATTTGGAGGGCTTTGCTGAAGGTGGCATGATTGATCAGGAGACAGTAAATACAGGTATGAACATTAACAGTGATACTTATAATGTGTTTATTTCTTTATAATTGCAAATCCTGAGAAAGATTATTTCTTTAGGTAACACATACTCTTTTAAAATTTACATTAATATTACTAACTACTTGTTTACAATATAAATGGCATTGAAATGTAGATTGTTTTTGTAGGGGAGTAATTAATTAATTGTCATGACCTGTTGTCAGGGGGATTAATTTAAGGAAGATAATAATTAACAGTTCTAATTTGCTGTATGCTCAATTCTAAGTACGTTATTTATGTAATAATTATGATCTAGTTGTGATTGTGAAAGATGTTATATTCTGGTATGAGACTTAAGTTGGTGTTGGAACTTGTCCAAATAGGACCAACTTAGCTGAACTTTGAGGTATTTCCTCCATTAAAGTCAGAGACAAGAAAACATGTAAGTGTTAGACCTATATACTGAAACCTATTTGAGAAGTTTGCTAAGTTTGTAAAAGATACATGAGTACTGTATTTTCTTGAAATGGGTCTAGCACTAAATGACTAGACTACATTGAAATAAGCAATGTATTAAGACTGTTTCATTATAGAGACAATAATTTTTTAGGTAAAAATGCATTCACAATGCTTGGAGTAAAAATTTACTGTAGGTAGCATAAGAATTAAATCATGAAATATTATTAGAATGCATTCAGTATTTTATACTTGAAAAACACAAACCTTTTTTCTTGATAATGTTGGAAGTTAACATGAGGAGGTGGTAGAAAGGAGTTGTGCTTGGTTGATTGGTTTGTTTGGTGTTTTTTCTCCACTTGAGGATCTGTCATTCTACTGCAGCCAAATTTTTAGAAATCTGAAACATACTCTGTATTGTGAATTATTAACAGAATAATTGGTGAAAACCTTTGGCAAGTTTTAAAAAGTTTGTTTGTGTACAGGCACAATTAAATAGCATCAAGCAGGTGTTTAGAAACATTTAACATTCTTAAAATGCATAATAATAAGTAAATAATTGTATTTACTGTTTAAAATAGAAAAGCACTTTTTAAAAAAACCCACATCAGTATCTTTTTATGTTAAAAATGCATCTTTTTTTTTAATAAAGAATGGGAAACAGCAAGGAGCTCAGAGCCTCCTAAAGAAAATATTCAAACTACGCAGAGTACTGCAGTTGATAAAAGCACAGTGATTACAACACAGACAGAAGCTTACACACAGCCAGTCACTATGCTGCAGGTTTGTATTAAAGTTTGAATTTGCAGAATCTCCACACAGCTGGAGGGGTAAGTTTTTATTCAATACAGATTAACTTCAATATTAAGGAAAGTACCTAAGCAAAATATTTAAAGTCCTGTGTTCTGAATAGTAGATTGTTGTAGTCTATGATACACAGTAATTTGTGAGAGCCATTGAATATCTGCTGTGTTTTCTTCTATCTGATAAAACATGATTTTATTAGCATCTAATCAATAGCTGTCTATTATGGAAGGCTGGAAGAATGCAGTGTAATTTTCCTTGAGTATAGCACAAGTGTAAACTCTGATGCCTTACGTCAAACTCTTAAAATCTTTTTTGTTATGACCAATGAAAGTGTAAAATGAGAAGCAGTTGTTAAGTAAAAAAAAACTTGTATTCATATTGTCATTTTTTCTTAACGTGTCTAGACACTGGCAGCACTTGAGCTGATGTGATGTTACTATGAAATTAACATTTTTGCATTTACTTGTGCTGAAGTCTGTGCTTTTACAGTTTTTTCTATGTTGTCCCTGGTCTTCTTATTTCAACTTCCTCCCAGCATAGACTGTGATTCATTTAAAAATACATGTATATGTGTCTATATGTGTATATTGCTTTTATTCTGCTCTGTATTACTTCCGAGTATTCTGCACTGTGCCAAAATGCACAGCTCAAACAGAACATAGAACTATTACATAATTTCCAGGATTTCATCAGGTTTGTTAGAGTATCACATGTGCTAACCTCACAACACTCTGGCACTGTTCTGAAATACATTGTTCCTTCTAATGAGAATGGAATGACTGTTTCTTAAGTGCCCTCAAATTGCCAGATTTTTTCTCTTACCCTCCCTCTCTCTTTTCTTCCTTTTTCACCTCTACTTCTCACCACGCTTTCTTTCTCTTTCCCTCCTCCTTTTTGTATTCCCCTCTCTCCCTAAGTAATTTTCTATACTTCAATTAGCATAATGTCTAACTGCATTTTCTGCTCCTTTAGAAAAATGAAAAAATAGCATAGGATTCATCCAGTGGCCTTATTTATCTGTTACGCAGATACTATTCCAGAATGCAGTCTAATTCTTCAGAGCCTTCAGAATATAAAGTTTTTGGGTACATTTAACATTTTGCATGAATTGCAGGCAAGTCAGTGAATAAATTCTTTTAATGTTACTGAATGCTGTAGGCATTTAAATTACTTTTTTTTTTTCTTTCCACAAAAAAAAGATTCCAGTAGCTCCAGCTGTGCCTGCTGTTAGCTTAGTTCCACCTGCGTTTCCTGTCACAATGTCTGTCCCTCCTCCTGGTTATAGTGCCATTCCTCCTCCACCCTTCTTGCGAGCAAGTTTCAATCCTTCACAGCCACCTCCAGGTAAGTCAGTAAGGAGAAAATTGAATATGTAATAAGTATTCTCAACCTGTGTGCTACGTATATTTTGCTTTGTACAGTTTTCCAACAACTTCTGGTTATTGCTTGAGCGAACTCAAGAGTCTCTAATTTTAACCCAATATGAAATTCCTAATGTCTAAAAATGATTTCTTACTCACGTATTTTGTGGAGCATATTACTAAAGCTGGATTTTTTGTTTGTTTTCTGATTGTTTTTGTTTTTAATTTTTGGGGAAAAATCAAAATTAAGAGATTCTTAAAATTCATCTCCTTTCTTTGGAAGATTTTGAAACTCCTAATGAAAATATGATACCTATTTGGGTATTGCTGACATAAATCCCTTTTAAAGATGAGCACGCAGATCTTTTACAATAAAGATGGATTGTTTTTTGAAAATAACAACCGTTGTCGCATCTTCACGTACTTGTGTTGTTCACTGGTTTTGAGTGATGCAACTTTCCAGGACAAATAATATAAGTAAGGTTTTAATGCGAAATTATATTTGTTTGTCACTGTAATAATTTGTACATTTTCCATATAGGTTTTATGCCTCCCCCAGTTCCTCCTGTTGTTCCTCCTCCTGTTGTCCCACCACCTGTTGTCCCACCAGTTGTTCCAACATGTAAGTTTGATTCTTCTCATAGTTGCTGTATGTCATTAAAAGCTTACTTGTTTGATATACTGCTTATCACTTAATGAAAAATATATTAGTCCTGCCTAATGGAAAATAGGAATATACCATGGTGTAACTGGGGAAAAAATAATGACAAATGAATTATTTAATATTTGTATGCATAGTTTAATATTTTTACTTGGCTATAACAGATGTATCTATTACTTAAGCTATCAAGTGTTAGTTGCTGAGTAATTTATAATGATTTATTTTTAGTTAGCCTTTTAACTGTTATCATTTTAACATGTAAGAGTGTTTTTAAAGAGTACTGATTGGTTATGGTGCCTGCAGTTCAAATTCTCTACAAAAAAGTAAAGATTAGAGTGCTGATTGAACATTAAAAAAAAAAAGATTATTAAAACTACCATAATTCTTACAGTAATTAAAAGAATGTTGATTTATTATCTTGATACCTAACAAACTAAACATGGAGGATGCAGATATGGTTACTTACACTTATGTTTTTTCACTACAGCTTTAGTACAGCCTCCATTACCAATTGCTCAAGAGACGATGAAGGATGTACCTTTTACCGGCCTGGTTCTACCAGTTGTTGGCACAGTTAGTAGCAATCTAGCTACTCCAACATTATCTTCTGGAAGCATCTTTAATCCTCTGCCAATCAACAAACAAGAATCTGATGAAAAGGGATCTCATCTTGCAGACCTTCAGATTTCTTCCAGTGAAAATGGTAGAGCTGGTAAGAAATGTTTTTATTGTCTGATACTTTCGCATACAAGAAACATCATCAAGCTTAAGAGGTTTTTTTTGCTGGTCCTTGTCCAATACACTAATAAATAGAGTTGGAAGTAGTATGCTAGGTATAATTTTCAGTTTAAAATGAAGGAGTAAGGGAGATCATCTTTATCATGATCTGATCATTTATTCCTAACAGCTTTTTCTTGGGTATCTTTGTAGATTTGAGAAATAGAGCTAAATCTCTTGAAAACATTTTAGAAGTGCATTTGTTCTACATGAACAGTAATGCAAAAAAGCAGAGTAGAATAAAGTAGTATAAAATTTAAAGACCTATGTCAAGTATTTTAATATTTCACTTGCATAAATTGGGTGATAGTTGTGGAGTTTGTCAATTTTAAGCTGCTGTACTTTCTTTACTATATGCAGGTGCTAATTTCCATGGCTTAATGTCTATCCTCAACATGATTAAAATGATCTATGTTCACTGTAGAAACTGAGACAGACCTCATCAGCAGTATCATCACTCTGAATGTATTACTTGAATAATGGATTAAGTTCTGTTTTGTTTCCAATATTATGTTGCATTGGCATTTTCTGGTAACTGTTCTTCTTGTTGCTTCATTTTAGTGCAAAGTGATGTCTCAAGTAGCTCTGGACTTGTTGGAGGAATGCAGCCACCCAGTGTCTCAAGCAGTTCTGGGTTAACTGGAGAAGGCCAGCCACCCAGTGTCTCAAGCAGCTCTGGACTTGCAGGTGGAGTACAGCCACCCAGTGTCTCAAGCAGCTCTGGACTTGGAGGAGGAGTGCAACCACCAACTGTTTCAAGCAGTTCTGGTCTTGCAGGAGGAGTGCAACTACCCAGTGTCTCCAGTAGCTCTTCTCTTGCAGGAGGAGTTCAGCCAACCATCGTCTCGAGCAGCTCTGGACTTATGGCTGGAGTGCAACCACCAAATGTCTCAAGTAGCTCAGGGCTTCTAGCTGGAGTGCATCCACCCAATATCTCAAGCAGCCCTGGCCTTCTACCAGGAATGCAGCCTCCCAGTGTTTCAAGTAGCTCAGGAGTTCTGGCAGGAGTACAGCCACCAAGTGTCTCAAACAACTCTGGTCTTCTCCTAATGCCACCACCAAACGTTTCAAGTAGTTCTGGACTTATGGGAGTGCCACCACCAAATATTTCAAGTAACTCTGGACTTCTGGCAATACAGCACCCAGCTGGTGTTCAAAATATGCCTCATTTAAATATTAGTAGTCAAAGGATGCCAGGAATGCCTCTCATAGATATCCGTCCAGGCCTAATGCCCCATTCACCTGGACCAAGGTTTCCATTAATGCAGCCAGGAATACCACCACAGCGTAGTATTCCTCCTCCAGCAATCCTTGATCCATCTCTTCACCCTCCACCTCGAGGTCCTTTTCCTCCAGGAGATATTTTTAATCAAACAGAAAGACCTTTTGCAACACCAGGAAGACAAAATATTGATAGCATTTCTAATCCAGAGAAAAGGTTACCACTTGGAGGCGATAATATTCAGCAGGAGGGAGACAGAGATTATCGCTTTCCTCCAGTGGAAAACCGAGATAATCTCAACAGACCATCCCAAGTGGATGTCAGAGATTCTGTTGGACGACCACCAGTTGATCCAAGAGAGGGCATAGGAAGACCTCCAGTAGATGGAAGAGAACATTTTGCAAGACCTCATGTTGACATGAGAGAAAATTTTGGAAGACCAGGTATAGATAATCTTGGTCGAAGAGAGCATTTTGCTTTCAATTCAGATAAGCACTGGGGACAAAGAGGAGATTATGATGAAAGAGAGCACCATGCCTTTCCTATTTATGGTGGCCCTAAAGGCTTCCATGAGGACAGAGAGAGATTTCGGCATGTAAACTATAGGTTTGATAGTAGAAGTGGTCCCAGCTGGAATAGAGGATTTGAACAAGATGCTCACAGAGATTTTGATGACCGCAGAAGACCCTGGGAAAGACAGAGGGACAGGGATGACAGAGATTTTAACTTCTGCAGAGAAATCAATGGAAACAGGTTTGGAAGAGACAGAATGTCAAACAACTGGATCCCCCCTCCACACCCACGGGTTTTTGAATACTTTGATGGGGCCACTTCCCAACGCAAAGCGGATAATTTGCCCCAGGTAAACGGTGAAAATACAGAGACAGAAAGTCAACCACCAACTGCACAGGTGCAGGACGATCCAGAACTTTATGAAAAACTGACATCTTCCGTCGAGATAAACAAAGAGAAGAGTGACACAGAAGCTGATATAGAAAGTGAACCAGTGGTAGAAAGCACAGAAACTGAGGGGACATAATCATCACTCAGTAGGTAAAAGATACCTTTTGTAAAGTTGTCATCTCTCTGTAATAGATAAATGGCTGACTGGACCTTAGTAGTTCACTTTTGTCTGCCAGAATTAAGTTAATCTGATGTTCATGTTCATCTTTCACTTAAATAACTGTACAACTGACTTGTATAGAACACTGTTCTTAATTTGAACATGGTAGGTAAACTTTTTTTTTTTTAATTTCTCTGGTAAAACATAAACTTGCCCCCACTTGCTTTTAATTTCATAAAGGTAAAATAACAGCTTGTCAAACAAAGACTTCCTATGGAAGACAGTGGAATTTTTTAGATACTACCCCTAGGTTGGCTATTGAAATTGTTATACTTGAAAACAGGTGCTGGTGTATCTTGTCCGTGTTTTTAGGCTGCTGCAGAATTTTAAAGTATAGACAAAGCTGTGATATTTTATGTTCCTACAATTTGGCAGAAAATGAAATGGCCCATGTTACTTAAGGAGCATAACACAGAGATTAAAAGTGATTTTGTAAAATCTACACTATAGTCTCTGTTTTCTCTAAAGTAAGTGTTTTGTGGTTTGTTCCTCATACTGCAGTGGGTTTAAAAAACAATGCAAAAGTACATTTTAATGTTGGGTGCATTTTGTTTTTAGATGCCAATAAAGCATATTTGTTTGATAACAGTGTTCTAGGTATTGTATTTTTTTTTTTAAAGAAACCTGCAAGCTATAAAAACTTGGAACCAGCTATGATATGTGCTTAGCTAGTTGTTGCAAAAGGTTTATACTACTTTTGTAAGACCAATGCAACAGCTATCATGTGCAAGAAAGATATGTATGGTTTTTACATGGAAAATCATGCAGTCATGCTAGTTTATGTGTATAACATATGTATGTAAATATTTGTGTAAACTCTTTGTAGATACTACTTTCTCTGTGCGTGCGTGTATGTACACACACTCACAGAATATTGCAGACAATTCAATAAAATTGAAAAAAATAGGTTAGAAAAATGTTCACCTTCTTTAGATAGTAAGATTACAAAGTGTGTATCACTGTGGTACTGTCAAGCTTACATTTACCTTCTTATGCTAGTAGATGTATGAAGTTCTTACTACTTACAGAAGGTGAAATATGAGACACTGTAAGAATATACAGTAATATTTTAGCTTTTCTTTTTTAAAATGAGGATACATGTGAAGCCAAAATTAAGTATTTGCATTGTCTTGTTTTGTAACATATTGGGTATTCTGGATAGACAGTGGTAGTGTTTAAGTACTTTGTGGTTGTTTTTATTGACTCAAAGTCCCAAAGTGTTGCATGAAGAGTGAAAAGCTGTTGTTGGTCTGAAAAATCCTCTTTTTTTTTTTTTTGTTTGTTTGTTTTAACAGAAATCAGGGGGCTTTGTGTTTTGGTGGCTTAATACTGAAGGAGAAAATCTTGTTAAATTGCTGAGAGGAATTGGCTGCTTAGGTAAATGAGTAGCACTATTCTCTCTTATTTCACATACTTTGCTGCTTATGTCCTTCAAATTGGTGGTGGAGCATTTAATATTGTAAGATTTTCAATTTGTTTCATTGAAATGCATTCCACCAACTTCTTTCAACTTAACTTTTGTTAAAATTCTGTCTGAAGGCATTTCATTTAGCTCTGAAGAACTTGTTATTCTCTTGCATAGTAGTATCAGAGAGGTGGATTTTGTTATCCCAATGCCTCTTCTCTAGAAGAAATGTTTTTAGCTCAGATTAGAATTTTGATCTTTACTGTTAAAGTGTAAACATGCAAGTTTTAATTCCCCTTCCAATTCTTCCAAAGGAACGACAATATGAGTGTGTCATGTGAGTGTAAAGTACAAGCAAGATTTTGGAAGCAGAATCAAGTTATACATGTGTTTCTTGCCATCTTCCTCTGGTACATGGGTTACTTTTTCATGCTGTGACATGGTTCAGTTTATCGATTATAGGGATTTTTATTCTGGACAGTAAAGAGCCAGCTTAATGAAGGTAATCCTTTGAAAAGAGTGGATATGACTAGTTCTTTATCTACTATGCAATCAGTAGTCATTAGGGTGTAGTGAGGTGAATTAAATAATTATTGCTTTGACCTTGCTGATATGTTTATTACTAGAACATGTCTTGCGATTTGAGGTGAACAATATTTAAAGTGAAAGTACCTTCATGTGTAGTCTCTATGGCTCAAAGAAGTTGCTTGATAATGCTGCGCAACCTAGTAGTAGTATTCAGGTCAGGCAGATACAGTTCTGGAAGTCCAAACATGCAAAACAGGTGTGAGGGCACTTCGTGTATTTAAGGGATTTTCTTTTTTTTGTTTTTGTATTGTAGACTGAAAATACTTCAGCCACAGACCATGTAAATACTCAGAATCAAACACATATTGGCAGTAGCTTTTGTTTACAAATGTTTTGTTAAATGCTTTTTTAAAACTAAAAGTTAATCTGTTTCTCTAAACTGAGATCTACAGTATGCTAAATTACTCATAGTATGATGGTATAGGTAAATTACTAGGTAGAGAGTTTAAATAATTCAACTAGTAGTGGTATAAAACAATGTATTATTTAATGACTTTTCATCTTTGTTAATATCTTATAAACGTTAATAAATTGGCTACTGTACGTATGTGTTACACCATCAATTTCTAACAGCATTTTTTTTCTAGAATAAAATTTTATTGAACAGTTTTCAGTTGCATCTTGTTTACAGCTAGAACTGTTTCATTTCTCATTTTACTGATTTGGAGTGCAGATGAATATTACCAGAAGAACAATATTCAGTAATACTAGCAAACATAGTATGGTCTCTTTAACTTGCTGGTGAAAAAGTTTGAGTGAAAACCTTCTCATTTTAGATTAAGCCATGGTAAAGCAACATTTGCCTTGAAAGGAGCTGTCCTAGCATCCAACACTTTGATGTAGTTAGCAATAGCGTTGTACTTTTTCCTAACATAAAGGGAAGAGTAAGAGAGGGACATAGAGAAAATAGGGGCCAGGCTTCTAGGGAGCAGTTCTCATTTATGCCAGTTTAAAGCCTTCTGCCATGACAAAAGCTGTTCATTCTAGCAACTTAAAGCAGCTGATCCATACTTGGTCTTTTTGTCTACAAAAGTGATATGTATGAATAACTCCAAATAGTTCTGCAGACAACACAAACAGTATGTTTGAGTATGCACATTTACTTGAAAACCTCGTACATTAGTAAGTTGTTTAATGTTTGTTTACCATTTCAAACAGCCTGTGATTCTGACTTCACTGTTCGGTACTTGAGCAGATTGCTACATCCATTAATATGATAAAGATGAAACATAGCCTTTATTTACTATAATGACACAGTCCCTTTGCTGAAGATATATTCTGTGAAATATTGGTACACTTTTGTTTTTATACACAGTGCTCCACATTGTTACTGCAAACTCAAGGGAATAGGTTGCAAGATTCCTACAATTTACTAGAGTAATGTACCACCCTTCAAGCCATGTCAATGATTTAAATTGCTTTATTTCTGAAGATGCCTTGAATAAGGCAATACAGGACTACTGTAATCAAGTCTACAGTGTGGAATGAATAGACATTAGTTAAGCCAGTATTGGAAGACTGTCAAATAAATTGTCTATAGAAGATATTTGTAAAATAAGCCAATTTATTGTGGAGATCTCTCAAAACAATATCAGCAGTTTTGAGCATGTCCAGGGATACATTATGCCAGTCTTCATAGAAACACAGAATGGTTTGGTTAAAAGGGACCTGAAAGATCATCTAGTCCAACTCTGTTGCAGTGGGCAGGGACACCTTTCACTAGATCAGATTTTACTGTATTAAGTCTCATCCAGCCTGAACTTACACGCTTCTGGGGATGGAATATCTGCAACTTTTCTGGCAACCTGTTCCATTATCTATCAGTCTCATAGTGTAGAATTTCTTCCTTACATCAAATCTAAATCTGTCTTCTTTTAATTTAAAGCAATTACCTTTGTCATATCACTACACTTCTTGATCCCTTATTGTCTTTCTTGAAAGCCCTCGTGAGTACTGGAAGACTGCAATAAGGTATATATTACTTCCCTAGAGCCTTCTTTTTTTCTAGACTGAACAGCCTGGACTCTCACAGCCTTTTCTCATAGAAGAGGTGTTTCAGCCCTCTGATCATCCTTGTGATCCTCCTCTGGACTTGCTCCAACAGATCTGTGTCTCTCTTGTGTTGGCATCCCTGGATCTGAAGATAGTGCCTGCAGGTGATGTCTGACAACAGTGGAGTAGAGAGCATCAGACAGTCAGTCATGTCACTTTATCTGGTTTCTCTACTTTTAACGCAGCCCAGAATAAAATTGGCTTCCTGGGCTGCAAACACAAATTGCGTGAAGATTTTCATCCGCCAGTACCCTCTCATAATTTTCTTCAGGACTGTTAGCATGTTCATCCATTCTGTACTGATTTGAGATTGCACCAGCTCAGATGCAGCAGCTTGTACTTGTCCCTGTTGAATTTCATGAGGTTCATGTGGGCCCATTTCTCAAGTCTGTCCAGGTCCCTGTAGATTGCATCCCTTCTCTCTAAGGTATTACCAACACCACTCAGCTTGGCGTCACCCACAAACTTGCAGAGGGTTCATTCGACCCCACTGTCCATGCCACCAATGGAGATATTAAACAGTATCAATCCTCATGGATTGTCCCATGAGGGACGCTAGTCATCATTAGTCTGCCTGTGGACATCGAGCTATTGACTAGAACTCTTTGAATGTGACCATTCAGCCAATTTATCCATGCAATAGTCCATCCGTTAAATCCATGTCTGTCTAATTTGGAGATGAGAATGTTACGTGGGACCATATCAAAGTTGACATCAAGATGACATCAGTTGCTCTTCGCTTTATCCATCAGTGCTGTCACTGTCGTAGAAGGCCACCAAATTAGGCATGCATGATTTGTCCTTTTTGAAGCTATGCTGGCCATCTCTAATCACCTTCCTGTCTTCTGTATGCCTTGACATGGTTTCCAGGAAGATCTACTTCATGATCTTACTGAGCGTTGGAGTGAGGCTGTCTGATCTGTAGTTACACTTCTTAAAAATGGGTGCTATGTTTCCCGTTTTCAACTTACCAGGTACTTCCCCTGACTTACGAAAGGTGATGGATAATGGCTTAGCAACTTTATCTGCCAGTTCCTTCATTGCCTCATCTTCTGCATGTAGCAATTAAAAGTTCTTATGCTCTTAGAAAAATATCTTTCAGTATCTGCCAGCTCCTTTATTTCCTGAGATACTCTCCCAGGAGGTCCTATATCCACCTTTAGCAGCTGAAAGTTTGCCCCCCTGAGATCCTTACTATATTTTTAGGCCAGACTAAATTCCTCAAGAACATGAATCCTACCAGGACATAATCACTGCAGCCCAGGCTACCTCCAGTCTTGATTTCTCCAGTAAGTTCCTGTGCATCAATGATCAGCAGATCCGATGACACTTTAAAGTGCTCATTTTGTTGATAGATTTTCCACTAAGTCAAACCTTCGGATCATTTAATTTGAAACTGGTAAAAATTTCATTATTTTTCATTCCAGTAATATAGTTTTAAAATAACAACAACCAAAAAATGGCTTTTCTATTTTAATGGAATTTTCTATTTTAAAGGAATCTTAAGAGTAAGAAGTTTAAAACATAAAGTGTCAGAAGATACTGAGAGTAACTAGGACAATTTTATTGTTGTTAAGTAAGGTGGTAAAGGGATCTTTATTGATTAGCTGAATTGCAATTAGCTACATTTGCCCTTCAAGTGCTGAGCTTTCATGTGTAAAGATGTACTGAGAAGCCATCTACTTCTTGTGTAGCTGAGAGAGACTGAAAAAATACAGAAGTAGAATCTCTTAATTTTGCTGCAAAATTTCAAGCGTTGTTGTTGTTGTTTTAATTTGAAGCCATTTAAGTGGACAAGAATTGCAAAAAGGTTGGACTTCTGCTTTTTTTTTTTTTTTTCTCTCTATGGGCAAAGTTTATACCATATTGCAACTAGCCTTATATTTCTCCTTGAAGGATCATCTTATTGGTGGTATTCATCCCACAAAGTTTGTGCAAGCACTTTGAATGCTCAACATTTAGAAGTTTTGTTATATCTTGTAATCAAGAAAGATTAAATAGAGCTACTGAAGACAAAATCTGTAGCACCTCTTTAAGAGTAGTAACTTTTAGGGAAGGTGTATAAGGTCTGGAAAGTGATTCTTGAAAGCAGTAGGATACTTAATAGTTGAGTTGGTGTTTTTTTGTTCTTTGTTTCTCTGAAGTTGATAAACTGTAAAACTGTATTTGCCAAAATTATTGTATTCCATTCTATTTTGCACAGACTTCATGAAAAGGGGAAGTTTCATTGAGCTTCTACTGTTACTATCTTACAGATGTTCAGCTACCATGGATTACAGGAAGGCAAAGTCTGATGTGTGCACTCTTAAAACTCAAGTAGTAGTTTGATTGA